CAGCCGCTAACCCGGTCTTCACATACTTCAACTTTATTATCATGTGGAAAAGTACGTCAACCGACGTTTGAGCGACCGACATTTGAGCAACTCCGACAGACACTTTTCAATATGACTTTTTGCCGATCAGGAAAGTCGAATGATTATTCACTTCGATAACGATTAATAACGATGATGAGAACAATCTTTTTGTCGTCGGATTATGAACTGAATTATTTGAAGATCTGTAGAGGGTGAGGCTGTGTGGGGTAAGGGTGAGAGGGGTGAGGGGGTGAGGGTGAGCAACTATAAGTGATGCGCTTCACTCAATTGTTGGAGTCCTTCAAATGCGGTCGCTCAATTGTGGATCGCTGAAAAGTCCGTCGCTCAAATGTCGCTGTCGCTCAAGTGTCGGTCGGTCAAATGTCGGGGTCACTCAAGTGCCGGTTGCTGAAACGTCGGTTAATCGTTTTAATCACTTGCAGTATTGTTACACTAGCATTTTTGATTTAGGGAATAAAGTAAAACATTGAAGACAGATTTTACAGTTAGTTCTATATAGACAAAAGGAAGAAAAGTTACACACTTGCCACAGCCATTTTTTCTGATGATCCATCCACATTTAACTTTTTTGTCAAAAGTTTTTTCAAATGTGAGAAACCAGTTGTCTTTTCTGGATTTTATTTGACGTTTCAAAAGTGATTTTATATCACGGTTGAAATGTTAATCAAAAGTTTTGATTATCACTGCATCTAGATATGCCGAAAATATTTGAAATGGATTTTAAATAAAACATAAAATGGTATTTGATTGTAGATGATGATGGATATATTGTTGTTAATAACGCTTTAATCTTAGTTGACCAGTACTATCATGATCAAATGTGGTTAGTAATCACACTGAGTAACCACTGGTTGCAAGGTTGTGTTGTATGTCCACATCATCGTAGAAATCCACCTTATTTCATTCGAATCTGTCGCACAGTGTGCCTGCATGAAAAATTGAAACTGGACTTTTCGGTAAGTTTAATAGTGATTTATATGCTTCGCGACATTCTCTATTCAATGGGAAAAAGTTTTTCCTTAAGAGCCTCTGCAGTCTGGAAAATATAAAAAATTCTTATAGCCAAAATTTGTGCTAGAACCGATAGCATTTTTGGAAAAGTTGATTTTGAGAAATATCTATCGTGGCTATACATTAAACAAACACACAGTCAGAATCTGCCATCTGCTATTGGTTTCCAAAAATGAATATTTGGTTTAGGAATTTAGCTGCCAGGAGCAAAAAGGAGAAACACTTTTCTAATGAGTTTTCCGAGAAGACGTGTTCAGTAAAATTAGTGCCACAATCACATCCAATTTCCGAATGCGTTCAAACTTTCAGAAAATGTTCATCTACTTCAAGTATCACAGTGTGATACATCTATGGAGTTTGCCTATCGAGACAGTCCGAAAGTCTATAAACACTTTTTATAGATTTCAGGTATGCTCTTTCCCATGGTGCGCTTTATAAAGTTCCACAATACTTATGTGTGGGTTTTCTAGAGACAGGGTCTCTGGAGAACCCAGTTGAAAAGTCTTTTTGAACTTTTTAAAACACACCACTGGAAAGAGCATACCTGAAATCTATAAAAAGTGTTTATAGACTTTCGGATTACCTCTATAGCAAATATCTGCCTGGCCTATGGAAAAATGCACACTGTATGTGGCGGTAGTGGCTATTTAATATCGTCAACGATCGTTGAATATATTTTACCCATCCAATCGATTCCAGTTGATTTATTAGACAGTTTGTTGATTTTTCATGAATTTCTGTCTTGCCTTACAGTATTTTTTAACATTGAACCAGCGGTAAGGCCATTTTTTAGACCACACTATTTTCGAAAAAATATCATATATTCGGAACCAGCATTGAATTCTGAGCAAAATGAGGTGTTTTGTTTATTCAAAAATCGACTTTGATTTTTTTCGAACATTTTTCGTGACACCGAAAATCTTTTTATCTCTGATTATTTTGAAGGATATACCATTGGATGCAAGATTGCAATATCAGGTTCGTTTTGTACGAAAACTTTCTTGGAAATGGAATAACAACTTTTATTGACAGCCGGTTCTTTTGCCCGTCCTACGATTTTGGCCGCCAGCCTAGGGACTAAGCTTGAGAGAAGAAAACACATTCATGTGTAAAAATGATTTTTCTATCTAAATCATATAACATACAATATATAAAACAAAGTTTTACATAAGGTTTTCGCCAAAAAGTGAATAATTGGTGAAAAACACAAATTTTTGGCCACTTGATGACCGCTTTGCAGTACAACTAAGAATTAATTCAATGAGTTAGATACATAGATCAATTCCATTTTTCCTGCTCTTTCTAAATATGACCTTAAAAATTGAAAAAAGACGCAGAAAGTGGTCAAAATTTGAAATACCTCAGGTAGGAAAAAAAGTAGGAAAATTCACCATTAAAGCGTCATTTTCAGAAGCCCAAGCAGACAAATAAACATCAATAGATCATATTCGTAATCAGGACGAAAAACTGAATCAAATGATGTGGGTGTCAGCGCTGTTTGTATCAAGCTGAGAAAAATCTATTTCTTGATATCTCTGTTTGCAAAATATGTCGTTGAATTTTTGACAAAGAAAATGTAGAAATATGTTGAAAGTTACTGTACTCGAATGAATTTTTCTTTTATTCATGATTTTATCATCATCACTAGCATGCTATATAGCATATGTTTTATATACTGCCGGTTATCATGCTGTTCTAATGACGAAAACCTTATCAATCGAAGAGGCCAATCTTGATTGCCCAAAATGTACAGTAAAAAAGCATCTCCGATATAAATTTTGAAATTTCATGGTCATAACAAACCTGAATATTTTTCTGATAAACCGAATTTTTCGACATTTCTAACTACAGCCAAACAACAATCTTTGTAAAGATTATATAGGTTTTGATTCATTTATTCTGTTGATGTTTCTACTGAGTCGCTCCAACTTGTTGCCTCATTTTCCTTATATAATACGGATCGGCGCCTTTAATATAACCATTATTAATTAAACCTTTAACTCATATTTTGCATTTTCTGAAACCGTTATGCGTTCACCACAGTTGCGAATATCTAAAACGTTTATCGTTTCTGAAACTACAAACTTTTTTTTGAGTGTATCTTAACTTCAGTTTCTAGTGAGATATTCAAATTGACAGTATAATAAATAGCTTTGATGAAAACTTCAATTTAACCTACAATTATCGCTCCTTTTGCGTTTGTTTTGTTACTGTATACATTAGCAACACAATGAACGTAAGAGTTATTCTTTTGTTTAAAATAGTATATACTTAAAATCAGAACATGAAAATATATTCCAGAGAAAGAACAGAAAAAGGAAAAATAAAAAAATAAGTTGATGAAAGACATTGCAACATCTTTTGCTTATAACAGAATAAAATTTGTGAGTAACAGTAATAACAACGCTACTCTTACCATAGTAAAATTGTCTGATCATTATTTAACATGATGAAAAATCGTCTACAATCATGTATTCATGCTAAAAGTTATTGAATTTCTCTCCAGTAAAAAGACATTTTTAACCATTTAAATGTGGACAAAAGTTCGTTGTTTTCAAAGGCAAGTCACAATTTTTGTTCAAAATAAACATAATATTTGCAATCCGTATAAAAGCTCAGTCAAATAATATATATTTTTGAATATAGTTTAATAAGTTATTAAAGCAGGACATAAACCGCGATAATATTTAGAATGAAAGATGAAGGAAAAATGCGCCTCGACTGGGACTCGAACCCGTGATCTTCTGGTTACAGACTAGAAGCTCTAACCACTAAGCTACCGAAGAGCTACATTTTTTCGCATTTTTCCTTCGTCTTTCATTTTAAAGATAATGTATAATTAAGATGTTTAACGAAAGCTCGCATTTTGAGATAGAAACAAGCCACGTTGTCTAATAAATTTGCGAGCTCATGAAACAATATTTTACTTAATACTGCACTAACAAATTGTTTCGAATCTTTCTGAGAACGAAAATCTGGAAATTGTTCATGGTCAGCTCAAAGCAACAGAAATAAGAAGAAATTAATTTAGGGCTTTTCTTGTAAATTTTATAACTTTGCAAAGATAGGTCGTGCAGAGCTGGGATATGTCTCATTTTAATCAGACATTTGCGGGCTACAATCATGTCTCATTAAGAAAGGCGTTTGTTATTTTTTACAATTCCTGAAAAACTGGTTTTCTAGAAATTCGGTCTTTGGAGGCCTAAGGACCCAAACGGATATCATCTTCGGATTCGGCATAGGGAAATCACGTAGCAATCCCGAAAAAAACCTGATTCTTAAGCAGAAAATCGGTAACTATTCTTTTCAGATTTCAGCACGCTAATAAAGATCTGACGAGGAAAAGTCTCCAGCAATCGCTTTTCTTTTTCAAAATTTATTGGACAAGAGGTAATCAACGTTCATGATCCTGCGTCTCTGTTTATAAATGGGGTTTATGCATGACCAATCGCTCCTCCTTCCAGTGTAGTTCACGTCGCCACATTGCCTGCTTTGAACACTTCTTCGTTAGTTATCATTTTTCATTGCTCGAACCGTCATAAAATTTTCTTTTTCTTTGTCGTGTATGTTTCTATGTTGCTGTGGTCTTTACAATTGAAGCTGTTAATGTTAACACGGCGGCCTTTCATTCTCTCAACGTAAATAGTTCTTTTACTAGTGGTCCATCAAAAATATTGCAATATACAAAACTTCGCACATTATTCTTTGGCGAATATCCCCCCATTCCTTCTCCTCCTTCGCAACATCAACAGTTATCGGTCAATCTCATCGCATTTGCTAAGCGCCATTTGAATTTTCTCGACGATGTTCGTCAAACAACGATTGGGCAAGACAGATTAAACACACGTGATGCAGCAGAAGAATACATTACATTTATGAATAAATTCTGGGGTGATGTATCCAAACTCAAGCCGGGTATTCGGATTTCGTACATTTGGCTTGTTCACATGTTAAACCCACATCCGTATCGGAATGATTGTCTCAATTCATTTGGCTTTGTGCCTTATACACCAAAGACAAAACTCACCTATGCATCGAGAAAAGGTTGGTTAAACCCATCGATTGACCTTGTTGCTGCTGCACAGCGGCAACGTTTGTTTGTTGACAACAAGGTACCGTTGCTGCAAAAAGAATTATTGATCGACGATGAAGATTTTGTCCGTGCTCAAGATGATTATGTCAAATTTTTGCGTTTGATCAGACTCAAAAAGCCAGAAATATGCGTGCCAACATTGGAGATTGATCTGATGTGGCATACACACATGCAGTGTCCGCACAGGTAAGAGGAATCAAGATAATTTCACCTGCTCTTACCGATTTCTGCATAGTTACTATCGCGATACTCAACGAATATGCGGCTTTTTTCTGAATCACAATGACAACTTACCCGATAGTCAGTTAAAATCGAGTTTGGAAAGTACTCAAAAAGCTTGGAAACAAGAATACAATGAAGAATATCCGAGAAAATCCCGACGATCTAATTATCAAGGTGGTGGATGTTCAGGTGGCAGTTGCGGCAATAGTATAAGACAGCAACCTTCAAGTGAGAACGATTACGTCTGCACTGATTTTTCTGGTGATATGCTCGTTATCCGTGAAAATGTTCAGGAAATGAAGCTGATAATGTCGTCATGTTCGAACGCCTGGAGTGGCCGAATAACCAAGACAAGTGCTGATGATACTGAGATGAATGGCAACAACAGTAGTTGTGGGACGATGACGGATAGTGTCACTGGAAGTTGTTCATCGGACGGTGGATGTGGTGGCTGTGGTGGTGACTGAGGAAATTCACGAAATGAAGTAGTTTGAAAGAATTTAAAAATACAATACGATTTCAAGTTGTGACTTATTTTCAGGTATTAAGTTACTTACTTTGACGAATGACGTTCCTGTCGTGTTCTGTAACTGTCGTCGTTTTGCGCGTATGTTCAAAAATAAATCCATGTTAAATCATACCTCAAACAAGTTCTTGTATTACGAATTAAGGATACCACCTCTTTTTTAAAATAAATTTTCATTTTGAGTCGGCCGTATCCTAACGTAGAGGAAGGTCTGAGCTACAAAGAGACTACTCCCAGCGTTCCATGACTTATTTTGAAAAGTTATGAACTTTTTACGTATTTGATCTAAAGCAAAAAAACATTCAATGTTTCAGTTTTAGAAATCATTTCTCCTCTCAGTACCTTGAAAATTTTTTCTTATGCATAATCTGTTAGAGCAAAGCGTTCTCTTCACAATGACACATCTTTCAAAATTTCTCTATACTTTTTCGAAGAGATATAAGCATCGCCGCAAGTGCTTCGAAAAAAGCAACTTGTATAATGTTACTTGTAGTAGTCAGCTCAAATTTTTAGCATAAATAGAATCAACATTCTTCTTCGAATCAAAGCATCCCCGAACTCTGAGGATGGTTTCCGAAACCGGAATTCGGAAACTCTAAACAGAAAATATTAAAAGAATTATTAATTCCATTGTTATTGAAAATAAGTTTATCACGGTATCGATGGATGAAACAGATGATAACCAATATGTAGATAATATTGATACAAATTCTACACCAATGCAATAAAAGTTTTTGCTGTCGTTAGGCCATCATCGTTCCCCATCATTAGAATGTTATCTTGAAGCAGATGATTATTTTGATTATATTAAAGGCGACGATCCGTATTATATAAGGAAAATGAGGCAACAAGTTGGAGTGACTCAATGGAAACATCAACAGAATAAATGAATCAAAGCCTATATAATCTTTACAAAGATTGTTGCTTGGCTGTAGTTAGAAATGTCGAAAAAGTCGGTTTATTCGGTTTATTAAAAATATATATTATTTGACTGAGCTTTTATACGGATTGCAAATATTATGTTTATTTTGAACAAAAATTGTGACTTGCCTTTGAAAACAACGAACTTTTGTCCACATTTAAATGGTTAAAAATGTCTTTTTACTGGAGAGAAATTCAATAACTTTTAGCATGAATACATGATTGTAGACGATTTTTCATCATGTTAAATAATGATCAGACAATTTTACTATGGTAAGAGTAGCGTTGTTATTACTGTTACTCACAAATTTTATTCTGTTATAAGCAAAAGATGTTGCAATGTCTTTCATCAACTTATTTTTTTATTTTTCCTTTTTCTATTCTTTCTTTGGAAAATATTTTCATCCAATTGAAATAAAGACTGAAATAAAAGCTGCATTTTTTTCGTTATGCAAAATGGAAAATCCTGGTATTTGATACTCAAATATTTACAGTTTGTGCAGGTCCATATTTTGTGGTCTGGTTAGGTGTCCAGATATTTAAGGAGCGAGGAGGGGCGGAGCATGATAGTGAGTAACGAAATGGTGTACCACAAAGAAGGTCTGAGATGTTATCTGAATAGTTTGGATATTCCATGCAGATAGAAATGTATGTAGAATATTTAGTTTTAGATTGTGTTGGATACATTTTTTGGAATGGTTATTGACACCAGCCGTGGTGTCAGCAAGGGCTATTGACACCACAAGGTGGTAACAAGAAGAGCTACTGACACCAAAATATTAAACATAACCAATATAGCTTCAAACGATCATTTCAATCGTTGGAAGAAGTACTGTGTCAATTACAAAGTCGGTGTCCATATAGTAACCTTCAAATGCAACGCTAAACATTTTGACTTAGTTGCTTGAGCAACAAACTTTTCGATGATATCATACGGTATGATGTGCAACGGAAAATACTTTGAGCTAAGAACTTCATTTTAACAAGACGATGTGAGGGCTGGTGGTCTAGTGGTATGATTCTCGCTTAGGGTGCGAGAGGTCCCGGGTTCAATCCCCGGCCAGCCCCGAGTACTTTTTTCTTGCTTGTTCTGTCATAGTAGGTAAAAGCGATGATGTGTGACGAGAGGAAGAAGAAATCTTAGTTTTTTGTAGAATATGTATAATGAAAAATTGCAATAAACGGACATCTACTGCCAACGTACTTCCATTTTATAACGCTTTTAGAGTGTGGGAAAGTTGATGATTTTTTTATCAGATTCGTTACTGGAAAAAGTCATCCTATGGATAGACTAAAAGTAAGATCAATGTTTAAGGTAGAATCTCTTATTTATCTTCTAAGACATGACACGTCCAAGGCCACTTTCAGGCTACAGTAAATAATTCAGAATAAGTTTCCACTATTTACAGCCATCCGTTTCATCTTTTCTTTCATTTATTCTTTTTCTATAGTTCAAGATGTATTGTTGAATGGAGTTACTAGACCTGTAAATGGGTTTTATTCACCAATAACGAGTGTCCCGGAAGAAATGGGCCTCTTTGTAGTTTTGGTTTTTCTATGCTAGCTTTGACTTAGTTAATTCAATTTTTATGCTTTTTGAATTAAAAAAGTGGATCTGAAAGACAAAAGCGTCGGCTGTAAGACTAAAATAAGATATTTTTGAAATTGTTTAGTCCTGTATTACAAATATCTAACTATGTTTCAAGTCGTTGACAAACAGTGCAGTTTGGAAAAAAGACAACGTTTCTCATCGACTAGTAACCAATGTGGTTTTATGTCCTGATTAAGATTGCGAGTACGATATTTATTTTTTGACTACTAATCCCTTCTGCATACATGTACAGTAGGAGGTAGTCGAACTCATCTTCTGCTGAAAGTTGACCTAATGTTCATTTTGCATTAAAATTGTCATGTTCATCACATGTCATATCAAAGAAAATAACATAGAAAGTAAGATATTGCATTCTTTCCGTCAGAACATCGTTTTTGTCGTTCGTTTCTTATCGTCGCTCTCACGTTTTCAATTAGAAAAGAATGTACACACTGTAATTTATCTAATCAAACTAAAATTCCGCAAACCTTTTTCACTCGATAAGTTGACCTACACAGTCACAATGATCGTGTCCTTAACCATTATGCTGATAGTCAGGATGGCTTCTTCCTCAACAAGCTTAAATTACTTGTTTATTAACGGAAATGAAAACCTTTAACATTTGTATGCTTTTATGTTCGAGAAAATGATTGATTATCTCGCAGTCAGCCGTCTTCCCGCTTGGAAACGCATACAACAAAAAATTTTGCCATTTCCAGTCCATTTCATTTGGCGTTTACTTGCGTTTTAGCAATATGACTATAATTTTTTTATCATAGCTCAATAACTCTTAACACCATTGTTGATTAAACAAGTACTTCTTCAAAGCCTAGACTTGGATACTCCGAACAGATTTCATTTTTCATTATAAATAGCGCAAAAACAAAATGGAGAAACAGAACCTACTCGCCACGTTTTCTCTCCACTCTGATCATACATATTCTACAAAAAACTAAGATTTCTTCTTCCTCTCGTCACACATCATCGCTTTTACCTACTATGACAGAACAAGCAAGAAAAAAGTACTCGGGGCTGGCCGGGGATTGAACCCGGGACCTCTCGCACCCTAAGCGAGAATCATACCACTAGACCACCAGCCCTCACATCGTCTTGTTAAAATGAAGTTCTTAGCTCAAAGTATTTTCCGTTGCACATCATACCGTATGATATCATCGAAAAGTTTGTTGCTCAAGCAACTAAGTCAAAATGTTTAGCGTTGCATTTGAAGGTTACTATATGGACACCGACTTTGTAATTGACACAGTGCTTCTTCCACGATTGAAATGATCGTTCGAACCTATATTGGTTATGTTTAATATTTTAACACGCATCCCCTTTACGTTTGATGAAACAAAGTAAGGCAAGATCATGAATCACAATCGGAAACCAAAAAACGTTTCACTGACAAAGATTAGAAAATTTGAAGAATAAATGACATGGGGATACACATCGATCAAGATGGTGAGTATACTCACCATTCTGCTGGCTATAGCAAACAAAAAGTCATTCGGAAGGTGTAAAGAAGTCTTAACGAATGATGATTTCGCAAGTATCTATCCAGCTATCTTATTTTAACTTCTTGACAGCACAGAGATTGCTATGAAAAAGCCGGCACAGGAAGAAGACACATTAATGTTATTAAACTTGATCTTAAGTCACACGTTTTTTTAGAGTGTAAATGAAGACGTTCTTTGTTGTTTAAAAGTGTCTGTCATGCATTGATTTTATAGAATCACTTGATTGTATATAAGTTCAATATCGTTTGACGCACCAGAAACTCCAAAGTCTATTGCTAAACGACTCTAAAACCAATTATCACTCTGCCGCATCAGTAGATAATATAAAAATGGTGTATATCAGCCTGTAATGGAAATTCATGTTCACTTTAGTTTTGTCTTTCTAAGCTCAACAATTATATGTTTATCCATCTTCCTAATATGAATATGGTTATGAATATACTTAAAGCCCATTATCATCATATCAAGTAAACGGACAAATATTGAAAGTCGATCATTCAACATCAAAAGACTCTATAATAGTAAACATATTTTAATCGGGTTTTTTCTTTTCATTATTTAAAAGTCAAACATTTTCATATCTTTGTTCAGGAGTATTTGTTTAATAAGATGATATGTTTTCTAGGTAACAAAGAAAAATGTCTCTTTTTATGATTTAATAAAATGTTTATGCTTCTTTAGACTTCTGTTTATGATTGTTGATAAACATAATGCACGACCTCATGGAAAAACTCATGACTTGTTATAAGCTGTTTTACCTGAAAGAGAAACATTTTAACGTTTTCCCGTACCGCCGGAAGAGAGACATGCCCTATTATAATCGAGGGATAGAGAAACACGATCGATACAATGTAAACACGAGAAAAGAACTCACGACTTGCAGATTAAAAGAAAGAAACGGTCAATCCACAG